TTCGGCTCGGCATCGTAAGAGCCACCGCATCCGCGCGCATCTCATTCCGCTTCTTTGCCCCTCTTTTACCGGCCCGAATTGTCGGCCGGACGCCGTTTCTGCCGTCTGTTTCGCGTGTAACGCCGTTTGTTTGACTTCGCGATTATAATTAAGTTAATTAAGAGGGTGCCGGGGAGAGAGTGGGCTAATTACCAGTAATTAGCGGCGTTTGAGCGGCACCTCGCGTGTCGCCGCAGCTTTGTCCGCTAAGCGGCCCTCCTTTGCGCTCCCGTTCTTCTTCTCCTCTTCGCCGCACACTTTTGTCCTGCTTCGCTTATTCATATTTAGAAAAATGGCCGTACCACTCGCACATTACTGCCGTGTTGCATTGTGTCAACGACGAGAAAATACGTTATTTTTCCTCGGTCCAATACATAGTGGTTTTCCCCTTGTCTCATGTGACGCAACATATATTCAGCTTTTCACATAGTTGTAAAGCGATAATTGTCTCGTCGAATGTATTGTGTTTCCTATACCTCGCCGGAAAATTTTCGAGACGACGATAACATGTCATCCTCGTTTGAAGTTTTCCGACTAATCTTGTGACGATCCGTTGCGTATTCCGTTATTAATTATACATAACCCGTTGAATAGATGCACTTAAGCATTTTTGCCGTTACAGCCATTACCTAACGGGTTGCGTTTATCCTTTTGCAGGACAGGGCCGCGTTAACCAGCTGGGTGGCGTGTTCATCAATGGCCGTCCATTGCCGAACCATACTCGTTTGAAGATCGTCGAGATGGCCGCGGCCGGCATCAGGCCGTGCGTCATATCGAGACAGCTGAGGGTTTCCCATGGCTGCGTCTCGAAGATCCTGAATCGGTATCAGGAGACGGGATCGATCAGGCCTGGCGTGATCGGCGGCAGCAAGCCGCGAGTCGCCACGCCGGAAGTCGAGGCGAGAATCGAGGATCTTAAGCGGCAGAACCCCGGGATCTTTAGCTGGGAGATACGCGAGAAGTTGATAAAGGTCCGTTGATATCGCCCATTATACTTGCACTTTGTTTGTGAAAGAAAAGATAAAAAAATATACTTCAAGATGCTCTTTCAATATAAATCGAACGATCGCCTAAACCAAAAATAAACTTCGGAATTATGTTAGATATAATAATCTAAACAAAAATATATAAGCTTTCTTTTATCGTGAATATTAAATAATTTTCTTTTAAATCGCTTTTCGTATAAATATGATACCATTAAATTAAGAAATAAATAATAGAAATGCATTAAATATAATCTAGATACACAGGTGCTTAAAATGCACTTTTTTCGCGATATTTAGCGATATTAATTTACGAAAGAAACGTAGAAAAATTATGTTAACTTGTCCAACGCGGTTCTGCCAGCAGGACGGAGTCTGCGACAAAGCCTCGGCACCTTCCGTATCCAGCATCACCAGACTTCTACGCGGACCGACCAATCAAACTCGTCCTGGCGATGATCCGCGCAGGAACCATTCCATCGATGGCATTCTTGGTGAGTTTTTGTTTAAAATAATATTTGCAGTTATTAGTTTATCTGTGAAAAATATCACACGATTTATCGCGCGCAACCATCGCTGCGCTCGAAAGCTTTGAAAGGCGATATCTGCGATACATCTCGTCGTTTTAACACCGCATAAGCCACCGAGTGGATGTAAATGAAGCATCCGGGGTTAATCGAGCGATAAGCGTAATTATAACGTAGCCGTGTGTTAAGTTAATTGAAGCAAGGCGACCGTGACGATGTATCGCGCGGCCGTACATAGCTCGCGTGCTTGCTGAATCCGTCATACGACTCGGCATTCTTTCCCGTACGCGTAATGCGATCAGGAAGTCGTTATCTTTTCATATAAAGTGTCTAAGGTTAAGAGTTTATCGCAATTATTAGGCTCGCGTATGGAAAGTAGTAAGAAATTCAATTATCGGGCGTTATTATACGAATACTTTTCACGACGTTATTGTTTGTATCTTTATTTATTGCACGTGAAATGTTATATGAGAATCACCGATGCGCACATACGAGTGTTTGTACACGGGGATTCCGCTTATTGAAGTATCCAGCAGTTTCGTGGGCACGCTGGGATTGGTAGAAATATAGGTCCGGTCGGCGAACGTAAAGGGGAATTCCTTTCTTTTTTATTTATTAGCGGCGGTAAGGGGCGCGAAGAAATATTAGACGTCCTGTGGCGCGTAGATGTGTCGAGTTTATTACCTTGTCGGGAAGATTTAGTTTTGATTAGACATATATGCCCGAGATTGCAATTTCGCGCAAGGACTCGCGATGGCTCGACGCGACCTGTTGCTTCTATCGCATTGACCAATTTTCTTTTGCTCTTGCGAAAGCAGCAATTTTCTTCAGCTTAATGTTGTTTTTATTATCGTTTAAAGATCTTTTTGCTGCAAAGGATAAAATTAATATTATGACATAAAATTTAATTTATAGTAAAAAAAAAAATTAAAAAAGACTAAAAAAAAAGTAATTCAATAAGAAATTTTATTTTCTAAATAAAGTAATTAGCCGTGCAAGATTGCCTAGTATATTCTAATAGAAAGATCGTTTGTACAGTCGATATGTGAAAGCAAAATTGTCCAAAGTAGCGATTCAATCACTTCGATGAAAGTCTCGAAGAAGACACATAGATCTTTATTGCGTCCGCCGCGTTTGCAAGCCGGGTAAATTATGTATTATGATTCGAACAAAGGGGAGAAACAAGAAGAAAGTCAGGCGCTGTTCCCGCCGTTAATGCACCGCCACGAAAGGAAAGGAGACGAAGGCAAAGAAGGAGCAAGGGAAGAGAGCGAAGTCTTTTTGAATGCGCATCTCTCGGACGTAGAACCTTTGCGCGTCTTTTTATCCGATCGCAGCGTGATGGTTTAGCGTCGAAGTCAGCGGTGTATTGGATCGGCTTATGACGACAGTGAAGATCGAAGGACGCGAAGAAAGAGCGAGATAACTTGAGCGATCGATGCACTAATGCGATAATAGCACATCATCATAGTCAAGCAACATAATACTAATGGATATTTTCCCAGAAGACATTTTTAACGATATTTTGGTGTGAATAATTCTATTTCTCTTGTGTAATGATTGATTTATTAAATATCGAGTTGAATTTGATTAATATATAAAATTATTTAAAGTATATATATTTTTTGTTGTGTGTTAATTTTTTTTAATTTTACATCAATTACTTGTTTCTTTAACAAAAAAATAAATTAATTGGAAGTAAATGGTCTCACGCAACATATAGCACACATAAGTGTTAAATATCAAGCGTTAAAGAGCGGCAATAGCAAACAGTCTCTAGTAGACCGGCTACGTGACGCAAG